CTAGACTTGTTAACAAGGAGTAAGTGTAAAAGAGTTTGAATCCAGCAAGATCACATGACCTCTGCATTAAACCTTGTTGCTGATCTAATAATTTCTGATTAAAACAATTAAACCTTTGGGTATAAACTATTTCATATTTTTGATTACTTAGACAATATGCTGTACACTGTCACAGATAAATTGTCTTTGCTACTGCTAATTCTTCTGGTAGGAATAGGAACAAGCAGAAGCAAATTAATAAATGATGACATGGGAATTACAACAAAACAGATCGGCGACTTGTGGATATGATTCTGAATAATAATATTTTACAATCTATTCCTGAGCACTGCTAATAGGTGAGAATTCATTTATAGTATCGTCAGAGACATTTATAAAATGCTTGGAAAAGGAGTTGTTACTTTTATGAGTCATACTTGTTATTTCACGAATTTATTGTTATAGTTCCCCTTACATAAGTACTCAGGTTGTACTCCTTACCATAATGACTACTCTGTTCACAAGCTACACAATGGGCATTTTTAAAAAAAAAAAAAAAAGGCACAGTTTGGTTCAGCATTTTTCTTGTTTCAATCTTATTTTCCATCCTTATTGCAGCCTAAAATAGATATGGAAAACAACAATAAAAAGGGTGCCCAAGTTGCTTCATCAGACTGAACCCAACAATATTTATGAGTTAAAATATACGTTTATATATTTCTTAGCATCTAAATCAAACAACTGTGAAACTACCCATGAAGACATAACTTCTGTCTGGACTGAGGTTCTACCTGCTGATCCTGAGCCAAGTCCTGCAGTTTCCTGCACTCTGCTACAGCCCTGAGTTCCCCTTGACTCACCATACTCTAAATGCTTGTGCCTCTTGCAAAGACAGAAGCAGCAGAGCACACAAAAGATTATTATGATCATTGTCTTCAAAAAAAAAAAAAAAAAAGAAACGCAACACATTTTGGCGACTGCCCAATTGCACTTGAAAATGAGAAAGTTTTAACCACGTTCATGTTTTGCGAACTGGAAAGTTTTCAGAGAGTTATTTTCATCTGGTCAATGCACAGTAATGTTTGTCGGTTCTAATCAAGACTGCCCAAAATCAAATGCCAAATACTTGCAACTATCTGATCAAGAATACATTACAAGCAGGCAATTACTCAATTCCTTGTTGAAAACTGAAAACAACAACTCTGAGAAAAATCACAAATAACTTGAGTTGTCTGTGAATACAAAAAGAGAGTTTTCAAATAAATTCTTTGATCTGCATTATAGATCTATGTACCCAATGATACATTTACGACCATCCAATTTTTAGTCTCATCATCAATTTTCCTATACTGTTCTTTTGGCTTCGCAGACTTTACCAAAAATATCCATCGTCCTTCATTAGCTAAATAAAAAACACTTTGCTGAAAAATTTTGTTTGGAAAAAGCATGAAATAGAGGTCTTTTTTCATTCTATGCATTACTTCACATTGCATTTCTATGCATTATTTAATTTTATGTGATTTATTACACTACTGTCTTTTGTTGCTACAGAAGAAGACCACTTGAGGGATATGGACCAGACAGTAAGAGCATCTCACATGCATCATATACATGTTCAGTAACTTATTAACAGAGATTAGAGACACTGCTAGTGGGAGCAGACACCTAACAATGAAAAAGTAATGAGATTATTATTGTCTTCTCATTACTCCTCATCCATGCCAAAGTACTGCAAATCACAAATTACAGACTCCAGCTACTCCATAAAAAAACTGCTGTACACAGTATGTGCTCCGTGGAGGCCACTTCATTACTACACATTAACCTATTTAAGGAACAAAAAGTCATTTCTGCACCTCTAGATCAAGTGGAAGTACGATTTAGTCCTTACTAAGAGATACTGCTTTGACAGGGAAGTCTTCAGAGGAACCTTGCAAACCAGAGTTGGATCCATCTGTGAGTTGCTCCTGGGTTGTCCAAGCTCCAGCTCAGGCCAGCAGCAGTTTGTTACCTGGGTCAGTAGCACAAGATCTCACCAGAAAGGATGGCTTTTTAATGTGGGAAGAAAGGACACTACAAGGGATTCAAAGGCGAAGTTTCAGCTGTTCGTTACCCACTGCTCCCTGCTCACCTCTCTCATGGCACGGGCTGGCACCACAGACGTGGCATGGGAGAAAGACAATGGGGTGACCAGGAGTGGGACAGAGAAGGACTAATGCCCTGTGAACTTCACTTGCTGTCCACCAACACATTTCAGAGAGAAAGATTCACCTCCAAGCTCCACCTTGCTGGAGGGAAGTTTAGTCCAACAGGATCCCATGGGCTCCAGCAGCAAAGTCCTCTGCCGTGGGGGAGGACCGAAAACACGGCCAGCTCCCCTCCACTGCAATCGGTGTGATTAAAGCTTGTTTTAGGCAAGTGAAAAAAACAGTGTCCCCATGACAAGAGCCTCCTGTCTCTGAGCCAGGGGGAGCAGCACAGAACAGCTCAGCTTACACAGCAGGGCACAGGCTGGGGAAGGACTCGGTTCAGCCACGCTGGGGATGGAGAAAGAAGAGAAGGTGGGCAAGGGCAAGGAGGTGTGATGCCAAGATGTCCTGCATCATGGCTCACACAAACAGCACTGAGATCAGCTCTCCTTCTTAAGAGAAGTCAACCAACACACTGCAGTGAGAACAGGGAAAAAAATGCCCAAAAGTCTGGCATTCATGTGAAAATGAAGGTGTCTTGCAGACAGAGAAGACCCCAAGTACCCCAATGAACATACTCCAGGTCCAAATGAACTGTTATTAGGATGCTGATACACTGGATTTTGTCATGTAACAGGGTACAAAAAAATTATTATTTTCATCCCTGTAGGCTTTCAGTGGGAATACTGAACAACAATGCCAGGCATGGATGATGGAATGACTGCATAAATTACTGGATTTTAGGAGACAGAACTGAATTCTAGAAAATATGCTTCAGTAAATGAAAATACCAGCACATAATACAGCTTCCCTAAATGCTTTCAGCAGGACCCTTACTTGCACAGAATATTGAACATGTGTACAGTGGTAAGCATGAGCACAGGCCTTATGCTGTTTTACCTGTAATTGATACATCGTGTTTCACAAGATTCCCTCCTGGCCTCCTACTACCAACTAACCAGCCATTCCAGGTAAAACACATTATGCAAGTCTGACACTTACTCCAGCTTTTATCCAAAAAAAGACACTACCTCTCACAATGGAAATTTAGCTAAGAGAATATTACAGCAGGAAATAAAGTTATGAACAAAGCAACTAAAGTTACTGGATTGAGGGAAGAAGAAACAAATAGATTTGGGTTTTTTTTTCCCAATTTCTACTTTAAGGACTCTTCCTGACCTCTCCTACTCAACCAAAAATTCGGAAAGGCTTAAAAGTAGTATTAAGCAGTGCTTCTAACCTGCCTACTGATATGGATATCTCCTTGTGGAACCTTCTCAGTTATAACTGGATACTGATCACGTCTAGTGACAATGTTTGTCCCGGGGTTGGCGGGGTGGGAAGAGTGTCCCAACATAGTTATTTTGTAACTAGAACATGCACAGAGTAACTGAAATGAAAAGGGTACTGTGAGATCTCCAATACCTTGTTGAACAACCCAGTGAGGAAGAGGCACTTCAAAGGCTTGGCTTCCGAAGGATCATAGCCAGAGAGAACAGTTTGATCAGAGAGCAGGGAGCATCTGCCCTGGAACGTGCTCTCCTTCCCAGTCACAACTTGGTGCACAGGCATGGATGTTGGCACAGTTCTAACAGTGTGAAGTACATGGTGCTCCTTAGCAACACCATCCATCTGAACACCTCACTGCAGGCCTGGACCTACAGTTGTGATCACAGATCAGCAGAGACCACTCAGACAAAATCCACGCTCAGCTCTTTGCTCTCCACTTTATTCTGGCTGTGTCATTTTATAACAGTTGGAGATTTTTTAATTTTTTTTCCCCCATTCTCAAAAATTTACAAGAAAACCACACAGATTTAAATGTATTTCAGGAGAGACTGTGCTCTTCAGACAAAGCAGCCACCATTTCTTTCTGTCAGGTTCTAATGCCTTGTGAAGGACATGCTATTTTAACCACTTGCCAATTAACCCCTCCTGTTATCAACTTGTTTCCTGTGATCAGTCTAAGCACCATGTAAAAGAAGAATTCTCCATTTCAGACATAATATCAGGCTCTAAAGTTGCACAATTTTGCCAGTTTTGAGATGATAGCACAGTCTTGCTGTGACTAAGGACTGCAAAACTGTGCTCCATGTAATTGAATCTAAAGATCTGACAACACTGACCTTATCAAGGAATGAAACCTTTGGCTGGGGTTCAAACCAAACATAAGAAATAACATCTTGCCGGTTGTTTGTAAACGTCATGTAAAAATGTACTTATTCATTATTAGCAACTTGTACACTGAACACTCTGCAGGTCTCCAACTGCTGCCAAGTGAAGGATTACTTGGTATGAGTATTTCAGTGACATCTTAGTCCTGCATTAATTCTGGCAGCACAACCAAGCATCCCTTCTCATGACTGTAACAGGGTTATCACAGCGAGATAAACATTCAGACCACACACCAAAAAACTGAGGGTAGAAGAAATGCTAAGGGCTGGGGTGATATTTTGAATGCCCACAGCGCTGCTGACCTGAGTGAAAGCCTCACTTCAGTATGAGATGAGCGAGATGGAGGATTCTGGGCAGAACCAGGACAGTGGTATCCCACTTTTGTGGTGATAAGGCCGGGAATGACAGTACATGACCTGCACTGGTGAGTCATCTCCTTTAGGATAAAATAGAAGAGGAGGCTCCAGGCAAAATCCCAAGTCCTATCAGCACCAGGTTCTCATGAGCAACACAGCCAACTCAAAAAAATCTCAAACTTTCATTAAAATTCAGTAAGGAGATAATTTAAATACTCACAAATGCTCTGCATGAAAATGTCATTTTAGACGGAGACACAAAAAAACCACAGATGGCTTTTGAGGCCATACCACTGCTCACCTTTCCTGCTCTTGCAGGCAGCTTTCAGGATGCGGTGTCCAGGCCCACATTTTCCATGGTCAGTCACACACACTCCTTCCGAAACGACCCACTCGTAGCACAGAGGGTCTTCACAAGGAATAGACTCCACTAAGTGGGGACAGCCTGCCAGGGTGCCCACTGGATCCACAATCACCTGCCTTTGTCTCATCCTAAAGCCTGGAAAAAGCAGAACTGAATTAACTGGACCACAGTAAAAACATTTACTCAATCATGTAGCAGGAAGAGGACTATAGAGGGCACCTGGAACTGGGGGATAAAGAAGGGTACAACATTTACAAACTGGACTGACTGGGATGGCACCTGGCTGTATGAGCCCACAGCCCTGCCATGCGATATCTAACAGTGTGTGAAAGAATTCCAGCAACCCACATTTCTCACATTTCTTTTTCCCCTTTTATCAACATCAGATAGAAATACACATGTCAAAATGTAGACATTTACCAGGGATGCATATATTAATGCAATAGCAGAATTAAAATAAAAGGAGAGGAACAGTTAAGGAACTGAAGATATAAAGGACATCTACACTCTGCCTGGGAATCCACGAACGAAAAGACTTGTTTTGAAACACAGCAGAGCAGTTTACTGAGAAATTAGTATTCTGCTTTACGAAGGTGTAAGGTTTTCTGATACATAATGCATATCAGACCTCTTTGAAATGACATCCTATTAAACTGGAAGATTCAAATGTAAAGTGGAAGAAAAAGGTTACAGAAATAATCATAGAATTGATTATATAATCTACCTCCTTCTGAATAAAGCCAAAAGTCATGTTGCTATATAAAATGCAGAACTAATACACAAGTATCTTTCAGCACGTCCTTTTATGTAAATGACACAGAATTCTGAGAAAAAGGTAGAAAAATATATATGATGGTCTTTCCCCCAACAGTCTCAGAGCAGGGGCAATTACATAGCCTTAGTAGAGGCCACGTGGAAATGTTCTGCCCATGAAACAGAAAAGGAAACTAAAATAAAACATTCCAGAGAATGTAACAGATCAAACTTCCACAGGCCTCAAATGAGCAAAAAGAAATTATTCAAAACTATTCAAACATGAAATGCTTTTGCAATTATTTATAGTTAAAGATTAATTTTTTTAGTATTTCTCTTTTAATTTGAAAAATTTAGACCAGTTAAAATCATTTCACAAACTTAGGCAGCTTTCAGAAAAGCATAATGTCCAAACAATAATATCCATTCCCAGACATGGACTCCAACAATCATCTTTCCAACTTAGAGCCTTAGGAAAGGCCCTGCAAGGAATCTCAACGTGTTTGCAGCAACAACCATGTACAGCAGTCAAATGAAATCCCGGGGAGGCTAAATTATACTTGTACAGATAAGAAGAACAACCTCTTGGGTCAGCCTGACTCCAGATTTCAGGGCTGTGGGATGCACCTTAGTGCTGACCTGTTCCAGCCAGCTGCACTGCCCTGGAATCCAGGCAGGCAGCAGGACTTCCAAGGGGGATCACAGAGGAGCAGCCTGGCAGCCACCAGCCCAAGAAATCCTCCTTCCTTACACATGCAGTGCAGGATAAAGGGATCTGAATCAGCTTGGGGAAAAAAAAAATCTTATCTTTTTTTTTATTTCTCACATGAATAACCGCAAAAAGCTTTTAAAGGTCACATTCCACGACACACACCCAAGAGCTTCATCCTATGTTCGATTAATTTTTAAAAGGGAAACACATTAAGCTCCCAACGTGGAATTTGACACCACTGCCTTTGCAGTGTTATTGTAATATTCCATGGCCTGCCTTAGACCCCTTCCATGCTGCACAAAGGAAGGGAGAAGGGCAGCCCTCACCTCTGGCTCCGTGGCGGTGCTGGCAGCTCTCGTGCTCGCAGGGACCCCACGCCGACCACGGGGACACCACGCACTCGGCCGGGCACGGCAGGTGACACACCTGGGAGCTGGAGGGAGCAGGACCCTGGCAGAGCTTCCCATCTACCGGTCTGGCAACTAAGAGAGAAGAGAAAAAGAAAGAAAATCAAGGCTGTAACTTCGCCCTGACAGCACTCCACAAGTTTACTGCTGACCTTAGTTTTCCGAAGTGCATCAAAATCCAGTGAGTTTTTTTTTTTTTTCAGGGTCTTATCTCCCTGAGCAAAAAGTTAATCCTGTGTTCAGCAAGGCACGTAGAAGTTTTATCTAAATTGTCCATACTTGGCAAGCCAATTAAGACTATGCTTAGTGGTAAACAGCAGCTTTAAATCCAAATTCAGTGCTGATTTTCAACAATGCTGGAGCAATAAACCGGAATCTAATCCCTGCATTTATGGCCAGGGAGACCTCTTTATACCAGACTGGATAGAAAGACACCCAAGAAGGAAATCCAAAAAGGTCACGCTGCAATTGGGAGCCAGGCAGAGGCAGGTGCCCCCCTGCAAAGCACGGGGGAATCTCCCCATCCCCTTCAAGGGCACTGCCACCTCTGGATTATGGATGAAGGGTCCAGACTTCTGAAGTTTGTTCATCTACTTCCAATAAAATCGAGCAGAGATCTTGATTTCTTCTATGCAGACAGCATCTTTCCAGCCTGGGAGGTGAGACATTTACTTGAGTTGCCAGGCATGGATCTCCAATCCTCTTTTTCCCAGAAAAGAGCTGACTCCAAGCTCTGCCAAGGACCAGTTTAACTTCATACCAACAATTAATTTGGAAAATTTGACTTTCTTTGTATTTCCATTTCACGTTAGAGATTTCTAGTTTCAATTAACTTCCCTCACCTTTTTATTTGGGGCAGAGGAAGGAAGGAAAAGAACAGGAAAGCCTCTTCAGTCTATCTTCTGAGTCATTATATGATATTGCATTTTAATTACATTATGGGCTGAATTTGGCTGTCTCTTTAGATAAATCAATATCAAAGCAGTCTTTCAAAAGGCACAGGCTTGTTTGAGTTTACTCTGCCATGGTATTACCAAGACTTCATTAATTTTTACAGCTACTGAGTTTGTTTTATCCTCATTTTTATTTTTAATGTCTGTTTTTCTTTGCTTCTATGCATGGAATTGATTTGAAAGGAATTTATAAAAACACCCCCAATATATGACTAATCTTTTCTTTTTCTGATATTTTACCACTTTATTTGAAATTAATCATTTGAAGAGAAAAAAAAACAAGTTCTTTTTTTTTTTTTGAACACAAGACTTCAGTGCTTAAAATCCCCATACATTTTGATTTGCACATCCTGAAGCTGACACTTCAGACAGTATCAGTGCTTATGACTCCAGCTCATCAGAATAACAGGATTAAACAACAGTGGGATTCAATACTAAGCTGAAAGATAATATATTAGTAAAAAAAGACCATTTTCTGAATGACTTCTGAGACACTGTAAGGCCTCTGACATGTTCATTTAGAGATTAGAACAAGGTGGCATAAATCCAATTCACCTGAATGTTCACACAGGGAGACCTTTTCTGGAGACCTTGCAAGAGAAGTGACAGGCAGAATGAGATAAATATTAGAGTTTTAAGGATAAGAGTATTTCTTTTACCAAGAAGTCTCATGCATGGCTTAACCTGCCTTTCAGCATCAAGCTTTGCAAAACTGTATCAGTTTTTGAGAGTTCACCTGAAGAAATGAAAGGAAATAAAATTGAGGGCAGATGGTCAACCCAAGGAATGAAGTCCAGTCCTGCTCTGCTCTAATTCAAGGTGTCATTGCCAGGAATGGCTCTTTCCTCCTCACTGATTTTTAGATTTCTGTACTGAATTTAACTATTTAAAAGTGGAAGCCACTCTATAAAGTCAGATTGTTCTCCTGCCTTGAAAACCAAGCAGTGTGCCCGAGGGCATTTGAAACTGATTTTGGATAAAAGAAAAACAAGAAAAATTGATTATGAAAAGTTAAAGGGCCTACCAGCCACCCCAGACTCATGGAAGACTGAAGGAAATCCCTGCCAACCATCTCCTGCTCCTCCTCCTCCCTCGAGCTGATGCCCTATTTAATTCCAGCACCAGGAGCTCTTTTCCCAGGACCGACAACCTACCTGTCACTGCAGCAAGACTGTTTGACTGCTCACTTCCTTAGGTAGTTCTTTATAATCTACAGAAGGTAAATCAGCAAACACCATCCTAATCAAATACACAAAGACACCCCAGGTCTGTGCCAGCTTATACTCACTCTACACTGACTACAAACCTTCAGTCAAAGTCTCCAATTTGGAATTAGCCAAGAACAAAAAAAACCCAAAGCTGCATTAATAAATGCAAATACAACATCCTTTGCTGACACCAGGCAGGTATAGAGAGCCACAGTTTCCAGCACAATAGCCAGAGTGACTGGATGGCCCAGCAGAGTCCTCTCTAAAAGAATTTCATTCTTTTTTTTTTTTTTTTTAAATTTTAAATTTTAAATTAAGGCTCACTTTTTCTGTGAGTGTTTTAAACACCAAAATCCTCGCACACTGCAGCCTCCAAATGGCACAGGTAGCCTGGCTGGGGATGTCCTACTCAGGAAAAAAACCTGCCATTATGCCTATGATAAATGAACACAGCTGCTAGGAATGTCTTTAGGAATAGGCCAGCCTTCTGATTTTGTTCAATAATTGACTCTGCAATGGTGTTTTCCTACATTTAAATAGAAAAAGTGCTTTTTGTGTAATTATTTTCCTTGGAACAATATCAGCCTTTTTTCGGTGGGGGGTGGAAAGGGAAAGGCAGAAGCCAGGGAAGGGAAGAGTGGGAGGGGGAGGCAACATCTCTGATTCAAGTAGCAGCTTATTTATGACGCTTGTTCTTACCTTTTAAAATCCTGTGTTCTTCCCGATCTACAGAACAAACTTGAAAAAGCAATCAAGTACTAATCTGGGAGCCTCTGAAACATTGCACATTTCTATAGCTGTTATATTGAATCTCTCCCTTATAAATGTGGCTGCAGCTGTTCCCAGCACCAGTGTCTTGCCTCAAGTTGGAATTTTACTATTTGCTGTTATTTTCAGGTTATTGCTACCAGCAGGAGATAATAAATTGGGTTCTAAAGTGTCTTGTTTCTCTATATATTTTTACTGAGGTAATGATTTGGAGGAAGAGTGGAAGAGGAAATCAGCTCTGATATGATTATTTCCATAATGTAATTTTGAGCCAATAAATAAATTATCTTTGAATACAGTCATGTGGACAGATACTTGCAGGCACACATACCAACGCTAAGTTAAAAGCAATGCTGACCAGACAGAGGGAGAAATGCATAGGATAGCATTTTGGATGCAGAGATTCCCGTCAAATACAGTTTTTCAGCTCCTCAGGAGGTAAATAACTTTTTTTTTTCCCTGGACTTTAACTACATTTCCCTTCTACAATGAAAACCCAAGTATTTTTGATATTAAAACCAAAATGAGACGTTTCTAAATATCACTGACAAAGCTGGAATACACACAGAGATTATCAGGTCTGTCTCTTACCTATTGGTGCAGCCGCATTTTAGGTAATGTTCAATTCTGAAGGAAATAAATCCAAATGTTTACCATTTCTTTTCGCAAAACTAACCCAAATTAATGATTTCCAGGGTACAGGAAAGGAACAAGAAAGGGATGGCATATCCTTGTGAAAGTTCTTACTGCCTCTGCCAGGACTTATAAACCAAAGACACTTGGATCAATACAAAGGGAAATTACTTGAGAAAATCACAAAGGAGTGAGTTATGCTATAAAAACACCTTTGTGTGTAAAACACAATAGGGATAAACCCAGCACAACGTCTGTAAGCAATTTCTCTAACCTGAAAGACTTCTAGCAAACCCAAAACATTACCCAAGGGAGAAGTGGTGAGTGCAATTTGAGCAGCCCGGAAATGGCACCGACCCCAGCCCGCTGCATCCCTCCAGTAAGGAGCCCAATGCACGCCATGCCTGATGGAAAGGGCTCCTTTATGCTTTTAGGAAGAATCAATTAGTTTGGAAGTCACCAGGCACAAAGTGGAAGTCCTATTTTCAATTAAAATCTATTTAACAGACAGGGAACAGCGTTATGAATAGAAGGCTGATCACAGCATGAAAGAGGGTTAATAGTGGATTGCCAAGAGCAACAACGGTTTAATGTATTTCAGAACAATAAAGATCCTCACAATTTTATTAAAGTGACACAGACAAAAAGTATTCCCCTCTCCATAGCCTCTGCTTTACAACAGGACTGTGATCCCAGCTGGAACACTGTATTGTTTTCCTACAGCAGAATTTGTGGAGATTAAGGACAGAAACCACAGATCTGGCAAAAATTCAGAGTGAACGTGGGGCTTCCCACCAGCAGCCACATGACTGAGCAGGTCAGAAGTGACAAGGCATCAAGAGTGTCCAGGAAAAACAGTGGAGGCAACAGGGATGCTGGGATGGCAGTGAAGCCAACGATGGGAAGGGAAAAAGGGCTCTGTGGGATGTTTGAGCCTATTGGCTGTTACCCAGAAAAGGCTGGAAATCACTGGGACAGACCACCAGAGAGGGTGAGAGAAGCCATGAGGAAAACAGGAAAGAAAACCTATGAAACAGAGAAGAAAACCCATGAAAATTTCATTTCATTTATCTCCAATGTCTTCTGTTCCAGCACCAGCCTAGCCACCATTGGCTCTGCTCCCTCTCCACTGTGCCCCAGTTTGTGGTGTCGCCTCGTACATGCAAATCTTTTTAATTTTTCATCTCGCTCCATGTTATTGTCTGAACACAATGCAGCTCCCTGGCCTCGTAACAACAACAGGACAAAATTACACAGAACAAACCATCACTGTTTTGAATAAAATGAATCCAATTCCAACAGCAGGAAATTATGACAAAAATACAGATGCAATTAAAATCTTAGTTTTCAAGGGTGAAAGCCTGAACTAAAACCTCATATATCACATGAACTAACTGGGCTGCATATTATTTGCTGGATACCACAGCCAACTACACAAATAAAAGTATTTATAAAAGGTAACTATTTCATGGTCATAACAAATACCTTGTTGAGAAAAAAAAAGGGCTATTCT